AACAAGTCTGGGGAGGTCCTTTGAGGGCGGCCAGTTCTAGCCGCCTGCAAAGGACATCCCCACGTTTGCTTTGAAAGAAATCTCTGCGCGGCAGTTAGAAACTGCTGCGCGGGATTTTCTTGCCATGTGCGCGGCCGCACACGCGCGCACCTTAGAGGGAACAGTACGCTCCGTGCTCATCAAAACAAGTCTGGGGAGGTCCTTTGAGGGCGGCCAGTTCTAGCCGCCTGCAAAGGACATCCCCACGTTTGCTTTGAAAGAAATCTCTGCGCGGCAGTTAGAAACTGCTGCGCGGGATTTTCTTGCCATGTGCGCGGCCGCGCACGCGCGCACCTTAGAGGGAACAGTGCTTGGGTTAATACACTTTTCTGCCACATCAAAGAGAGGCAAATGGGCACATTAATGTGGCATTACGTGAGGAAGAGGCTTGTAAGATACTATAAAACCCCAGTGAGAAAATGATTTTAAGGCAAACACATCACCATTCTTAAGGCATAAAGCAACCACATCTTTCCAAGACCTTCAAAGCTGTTTCAAAAGCTATTTGTGGTGCTTTGCATATTCAGATTTGATACATCAAAGAAGTGAAAGTGTTTGTGTGCATACAACAGCAGCAAACCCCTATTAGAGCTTCAAATCTTATACTTTGAGATAGTGAATTAAATATCTTTAGTACAGATGCTACTGTACATAGTAAATGCTTCATTAAATACATGATTTGAAAACACTATTTCACCTAATCAAAAAATAATTCCCTCATCTATACTGTCATTTTTATGACAATATTTACTATATATTGTGATATTGCATCAGGGGTAAAATTATCTTTCTGAGCCATATCAGATTTTGAATCTGATTGTTTACTCAGAGGACATTAAACACACAGCAAGTTTTTGTTTTAAAGGAGCATATATATTAAACGACAACACACAACACCATATGTATTTTTTTGAAACTTACTTGTCTCTATCGTCACAACAGGATGCAAACTAATTTGTGCTCCTTTAGGGCTCTGAGCTGACAATAAAAATTTGTAAGAGTGACCTGGGTCCAGATTGAAAATTTTTGTGCATGTTGAATTTAGAGTAAAAAATTTGGAATTCTGTTCTGAGTGTTCAGAATAGTACTTAATGTTAAGTTGAAAATTTGAATTCAGCCAACCATTCAAATCATTCCACAAAAAGGTTGCTTCATTTGTACTGACATCTTGTATTTTAAATGTGAAGTTTTCATGAACTGAAGATACTGCAAAAAACCACAAAATTTCAAATTAAAAAATTTCAATAAGCAATTGAGAATAAATGTAATAAAAAAAATCTAAACTTGAAAAAATAATTACATTCATATTCACAAATATATGGCAAAGAAATATAGCAGAAAAATCCTATGAAAAGATAATCTGGGACAAATGGATTTCTCTGGAAAGCATAACAATCAGTTTCATTTTCTGGTATCAGTGACAGAGAAGAAAATTCAGATTCTCCAAGATATAGGGAGTCATCAGTCCACATGAGACGTCCTTCTTCCTAAAAGAAACAAGGTTACTGTTTTCTTAAATTAATAAATTGTTTTCAATATGTCATACATTTTAAATAATTAATTTAAATTAATCATTATTTTGTTATAATTGTTCATATATGTGTAAATTATGCTTTTATAATAGTATTACTGAAAATTAAAATGTGTATGTGTGTGTGTGTGTCTGTGTATTATTATTATTCAAAATCTGCAGCACGAAGACAATATCAGAGCTACAGTTTAGTAAGAATTAATATACTGACCTTAATATCATTAAGTCCTGTCCAAACCAGATTTAGCTGGTTGAATGACTGAAGATAAGAAGTTAAAAAGGTATATTCTTCTTTATTTCTAATATCAACAAGATGTGCCCCAGTTGAAAACAATTCACACTGATGTTGCGCCATATTCCAAGGTTTGCTATCTGTATCGACTTTATAGCAACTCTGTTTGAAAGCTGTCCAACCATCTGAACAAAAACCTAATAAGGAATATTTAATTCCATGCTTTTTTCAATAAGTTCATATGAATGATAAAATAAAACTTTTAAAATTTAAGAAAAACCATATTTCAAATAAGATAAAAATGGGAATGAAGTACATTTTTTTTGATTCATTAAATTCATAAAAACAACATAAGCACCAGATATTTGTATGATTTCCTACAGGTTTGTCCAAAATGACTGCATTGCTTGCTATGTAATAATCAATGCGGCATTCACATGTTATTTCCTATACTTAGTATGCTATAGATATAAATAATTAATGTAAAAATTGTGCATATTTATGTTTCTTTTCCATCTATTTTTAAACATATATTTCAGTGTAATTCTGCCATTTTTGAAACAATCAAATCTTTCAGTAAATAAACTATCAGATTTAGATTTCAGATTTCAGTGAGATAATGCATATAGTTATAACCATTGTTCCAAAAATAATTTCAGGAAAATTTAAATGCTATTATGTATAACTTCTTTAATTGAAGCAAAGTGCAATAAGTAGTATATTTTCATTATAATTCATAATTCAGTAAAGTTATATATTGTTATTATTACTAAATAGCACAAGACCTGCCTCCTATTTTAATTATGCAATGAATTGGGAACATTTCACTAGTTATATTTACTCCCTACATTTCTTTAAAGGAACTTTAAAAAAAACAAAGCTTACATGTTCTGAACCAGACAATAGTCATGGCTAAATGCAGAACTATACTGATATTCATAGAGAAAAATGACAATAATGAATTAATTATAAAACTGACCTGTTTCAATTTCAAACTCCAGTATCTGATATACATTAATAAATTCTAAGTCAAGTTGCTTAAATTGAAGAGAAAATGTGTGCAATGTTGCAGGTCTCAGATCAGTCCATTCATAAACTCGTTCTTTATTTTTAAATATATAAGAAATGTTTTTATGGAAAATTCCTATCGAAAAATCATGAACCAGCATATTCCAGTTAAACAACACACTTGTACTTGTCACACGAGTTTTGACACTACTTTCTGGAATTCCATCTATAATAGGCATAGAGAAAATCAAATTACATATTAAATTATTTACATTAACATCAAATTTTTGAATCAGACTCTTAAATAGACACTATGGACAATGGCAAAATAGAAATGTGGTCAACAAATAAACTGAAATTTATTTCAGTTCAGAAAAACTGTATTTATGTGTGTGTTTTATATAATATGTAAAACAATCTACTTAAGTTGAGAAAATGAAAAGCTCATTTTCAAAAATATAGGCACGTTTAATTCTTTGCTCCAAATAACAATGTGTGCAAAATGATTTGATACATTGAACATTATAACAATCATCAAATCTGAAAAATAAATTGTACAAAGAAAAATTGTATACCAAAGTATATACCAATGATATATAGATTAGCTCTCATCTGATTTATATTAGTCCAGTTCAGAATATAACATTATTTGAAATCAAATATTTGAACTAAATTAATTCAGTTTGGAGAGTAAGTTTGATTAAGTTATTCTAACTGAACAATTTGATTTGAACCCATTTTTAGTGACTTTCCAAATGTCATCAGAGTATTTGCTATATAGCTCTCTGTTTCTGATAGCAGGCACTGCAATGAAGAAGCATACTTTCTAAGTTCTCATGGTTGACACTGTTTCTTGGAAGGAGCATGAAGCATAGCCACTTTGCCCAGTCTCATTAAACCAGCCAGAAACTATTGCTTATTTGGGCAGACTTCAAATAAACAGGCCATATGCCATGAAAAGCTTTATAGGTGGTAACCAGCCCTTGGCGTTGCACCTGGAACCAGTAGTGGCATTGCATAGCATATCACAGTGTACCCATCATTACCCACGTCATCACTTCTAGAACAAAAGGCAGCCCCATAATTTATTCATGGCAGTCACATTTTTTTGTGAGGTGGCTGCCACATAAATAAGATAAACAAGCAAGTGACAAGGTGCAAATTACTCTCTGAAAGTTCACACATGCCCCATGATCAATATTAATCCAAAAAACCAATTGTGATCTGATCTGATTTGTCAATTATATGAATCAAAAATTAATGTCACCCCTAAACTTGTACTGTGTAAGACTAGCAAAAAGCAACTGAAACACAAATGTAAAATTTTGCTCAATAAAACGCCAAAATGATAGTAAGTAATATTTGTATCACATTATGTTTTCATATTAATTTTAATGCAAACTTAATACATGGGAAGTTTATATGGAGTATAGGTAGCCCTTGACTTATGACCACAATTGAATCCAAAATTGCTGTTACTAATCGAGAAAGTTGTTAAGTTAATTTTGCCCTATTTTAAGATCTTTCTTGCTACAGTTAAAGTGAATCTCTCCATTTGTTAAGTTAGTTACATGATAGTTAAATGAAGTTGGTTTCCCTGTTGACTTTGCTTCTCAGAAGAACATAAAAGGTGATCACATGATCGTGCGGCACTGCAACCATCATAAATATGAACCAGTTGCCAAGCATCAGAATTTTAATCATGGGATCAAAGGGATGCCACAATGGTCATAAGTGTGAAAACCTGTCATAAGTAATTTTTTCAGTGCTGTTGTAACTTTGAACAGTCACTAAATGAACTGTTGCAAGCCGAGGACTACCTTTATATGTTGTCCTACTTACATATTTTAAATGATTTTGCATATAGAACTTTTCCACTTTTTACTGATTGGATCATCACATCATATTTCTTCCCTTCTTCAAGCAGAACTGTAACTTTCTGTACTTTTACTTGAATTGTAGGAACACTTTTCATATTCTATAATTTAGACAGATTTTAATACAGTATTATTATACCTGAGGCTGAAATCATAAACAAATTTTTGAACAAAATATGATTTGCTTTTTTGGATAAATTAGGGCCCTTTGTATATTTATCAAGATTTCCAACTTAATATAATATCTGCACTAATCCACAGTTATAATGAGCCCTGCAGAATCCACTCTACAAAGATATTTCAATTGCTTTACTTTGCGACTGTATAAGAATAAAAACAAGAAATAATGAATATCAACTGAAGAACCAAGCATTAGCCTTTTTATAGTTCATGAAATATAATCATGAAAAAAAACCTGTTTATATTTGCCATTGTTTACCATTAACTCTTTGATTATTTGATGCCCATAGGCATATGGGTGTATTACTTATCAATACAGTATTATCAATGTCAATATTATCAATATTATCAAATGATAATAAACGTAATATATTTATAAATTATAAGCATTCTACATAATTTAATGCATTTTCTATCAAAGAAAAGAACAGCATCACTAAAAATATGTAATTAGGAAGAGTTTGGCTTACTTTTTGAGCAAAGTCATCTGGAATGTGATATGTTATAATATAAAAATCTGGATATTGATTTTCTGGAAATTTTGACCATTCCAAAGAAACAGCCCTAGAAGGATTCTTCACTTTATCACACTTCAGGTTGTTGGTTATCTTTAGTAAAATAAAAGTAATGAGGAGATATTTCACAATATGAATATTAAACCATTCCAATATTGCTACTATATATAATTCTACATATCATTTAGCAATGACATAAAATGTAACATTTTGTTTGGCTCAGATTATGACTTAGTTGATATCATTGCGGTCATCATTAAATGTTAGTGTTTATTCTCTGGTTTGGATTTTTAAAAAACTGAATTTCTAGATATTCTAGAGTGTTATGCTCTGGTGCATTCATTACAGATGGCAGAATCTCTTGAGGACACTGCTTTCTAGCATCTCTTGATATCATCCTTGATTAAAGGATCAAGAAACATGAGATGGTGTTTTAGTACCCAAAGCATTGATGAGAAATAGAGGCTACATAAATCCCCAATCCTAAACCAGCACTGCCACTACTAGAAAAAGTTGTGATTTAAGTGAAAAGAAGTTAATATCCAGAGTTCAGCTAAATATATGAAGAGCAAGCAAGTATATTCCTACCTCTAATTTCATATTGTCCAAATAAAAGTTTAAGTGACAAAGTAGCAATAAAAACTCTTATCTAGTCATGCTATATGCTACGTCTGTATGTTCTTAAAAAGAATACCAAACACCAGAAGATATCTCTTCTTACCTGAAATACATATTGAGTCACAATTAAAAAGCACATTGTCTTGTCCATAGTGAGGTTCAGTCTCAGATTTTAAAATGAGTCAAACTTCTAATTGAATTATGAAGCCAATCCTGTAAAAAGAAATAAAGAATATAATAAAATCTACTTAAAAATCTACTTGTTAAAATACATTATTCTGTACTCACATCTTTGAGAAAACATGCAACTGTTCAGTTTTCAAGTTAGATCATTTTTCAGTATATGATCATGTGGTAATATAGGTAGTCCTCAACTTACACAACAATTGAGCCCAACATTTCTGTTGATAAATGAGTTTTGCCTCATTTTATGACCTATCTTGCCACAGTTGATAAGTTAGTAACCTGGTTGTTAAGTGAATCTGGCTTCCCCATTTAATTTGCTTGTCAGAAGGTCGTAAAAGTTGGGACATAGCAACGGTCATAAGTATGAACCAGTTGCCAAGCATCTGAAATTTTATTACATGATCATGAGGCTGCTGCAAAGATCATAACTGGTCATAAGTCGTTTTCACTGATATTGTAATCTTGAATGGTCGTTAAATGAATTGTTGTAAGTCGAAGACTATCAGTAGTTAATTCAGGTTGATCTATAGTTCCATTATATCCAAATCATATATACAACTGCAATAATTTGAGCAAAGTAATATGCCGTATTTTTCAGAGTATAAGACACATTTTTTCCCCTCAAAAAAAGAGGCTGAAAATCTGGGTGTGTCTTATACGCTGAATACAGCATTTTTTGCCTCCCGAAACCCCACTCCCTTCACCAAAATGGCCATGCATAGCTTGTAGGAAGCTTTTAGAGAGCTCCTGGGGGCTGGGGAGGGCAGAAATTAACAAAGACTGGCCCGTATTCTGCTCAATTTTACCTCCCCCCCCATCCCCCAGGACCACTCTATAAACTTCTTAAGGCTATCCATGCCAATGGAAAATGGACCCGTTTTCGTGAAAAATGGGCCATTTTTTGCTTGTTTTTGCCCCCCCCCTTCCCAGGAGCACTCTGCAAGCCCCTAAATGCTATTCATGCCTTTTTGGGGGGGAAGGGCCCGTTTTTGTGAAAAATTGGCCTTTTTGAGAGGTTTGCAGAGTGCAAAAACATTCTTTAATTTACCTCTTCAAAACCTTGGTGAGTGTTATGCTCTGGTGCATCTTATACTCCGAAAAATACCGTAAGTGCTTAACTTTTTTTTACGGATGCATATCATTATACAGCATATGATTATGCATACACCCACAGAGTTCAATTATTAATGAAGTATTTGTAATGTTCTATATCTAGCACAACTAACAATTTCTTTAATGCTATCAGTGTCTATTAAAATAGTGTATGCTTACCTTTTAAATTTTATATTTAAAATTTTAACATAGGAAGAAATTTTAATGTATGCCTATTTAAAATACAAGCAATATTGTACATTATACATGGGAGACGCAGTGGCGCAGCACTGGAACTGCCAACCAGAAATGGTTTACATTCTGGCAATTTGAGTCCGGCTCCATGAGAAGTAGTGAGCTTCCGTCACTCAATCCTTAGCTCCTGCCCACCCAGCAGTTCAAAAACATGCAATATTGCAAGTAGATAAATGGGTACCACTTAGGTAGGAAAAACCTAGCTGTGTTCATGTGTGCAGAGAGCTGGAGCTGGCATTGAACCTGGCTGGATATGAGGCATCACAACACAAGACGAGGCAAGACTGGTGGAAGAGCCTAGAAGAGCCAGCAACCAAAGTGCCACTAGCTGATTGATGTAAAGCTAGTTTGCCCCCTGCAGTACAACAATGGTAGGCATATACACCGAACAGAATAAATTAGCGATCTAGGACTGTGTTGTGTCAAGCATGTGTAGATTTCCCTGATGTTGTATGCTATATGCTAAATAAATTATTTCTGTGGGATATGATAGAAGAGTTTTATACTGTATATAGCAACATAATAGAACAAAGGAAAATAGGAGGAGGAAGGTGTATTTTTCTTTGAAGATGTTTCTCTTCTCATCTAAGAAGCCTCTTCAAAGAAAAACAAGAAAGTCCAGTTGCCTCTTGAAAAAGCACCTTTGGGAAAATCATGACTGAAATCATGACGACTGAAATCCCCATAGACTTGTGTTGGATAAGTTCACCACCCTGAGTTATTTGTAAAAAATAATAAAGGTGAAATACAAAATAAGATAAAATAAAATACAGAGGTCAGAAGGATGTTGCAGACATTCAACCAGTATCATTAAAAGAATGTTCTGTGGCATGACCAGCTTGCGCTCTGATGAACAGCTAAGGGCATTGGAGATCATGGAAGCTGGAATCTAAAACCTGATATTTCTTATATTGACCTATATCCACTATAGGAGATGCCCTCACTCAAAGCCTAAATTGGATGCCATTCCTTTTAGTTCTACAGATCCTGTTATTCCTAATCGTAATCAGCACACCAGCCACTGAATCCTAAAATGTGATTACTACTATGTGGCGTAGGAATGGGATGACTGACAAGGGAGAGCTCATTTGGAAGATCTAACTTCCAGGGAGAAGCATTCTCTTGCTATTGTGAACCCCTAGTAAGACCCAATTATATCTAGAAGACACTAGGCTGTCTGGAGAAATCCCATGGTAAGAAAGTCAAGTTTGTTGGAAACAACATTCAGACAATCTGTTTTGGGTCCAGAAACCTTGAATAAATGCTTCTTCAGGTGTTTTGATATTTTTCTGGGTTTCAAAATCACCCGGTACGTTTCCATGAGGTCAAGTACTCTTGAACTTTGGATTTCCCTTAACACACTGTCTTGATTAGGTGAATTTCGACAAGCTGAGTTTGAGGGCTGTTAATTTAACGTTGATGTTGTTTGAACAATAATGCAAGTAGGGTTGCCGTTGCCTTCATCCAGTTAATGTATAGCCCTGATTTTCTGGTGATTGCCCACCATCTCTGACTTCATTTAGCTTCTCTAAAATCAATCAAAGTTGCCTCGATGGCTAATACAAAACATACATTAATCTGAGTAAGTCAGACGGCAAGCAAGAAAGACCACACTCATTGCATCATTAGGTATTTCTATGTACACGATGGAACTCTATGTACAGAGTTCATGGATTCCTTTTTGCCAGAATTATTCTCCAAATGTGCCCAACCTCCATCTCCATAATTATTAAGCCAGAAACCATTCTCTTTTCAAAAGCCACAAGGTTCTCAGTTATTCAAGGGGAATTAGACTGAACGTCTGAAAATTAGCCAGGCAGGTCGATTTGGGAGGAGACTAGGGGTTTGGCGTAGCTCGCTTGCACAAGACCTCTTCCCTCTTCTGTACGGAGCGAGAAGCCAAAGCACCTCCAAAAGAGTTTGCTCTGCCCACCTCCGGAGAACCTTTGGTGCCGAATCCAGCGCTTGCGCTCCGTCACTGGGTTTGGCTCACCAAGCGATTCCGAAAGAGCGCGGCAGTTTCCTTCCGGCAAACTTTGCCCAGCTCGGCCGCCGCTCGCGCGCAAAACCCACCTGCCAGTCGCTGGGGAAAGAGGGCTGCCAGAGCCTCCGGGTCCCTGCGGGAGTGAGGCGCCGTTTTCTCTGCTTCCTTTATTTGCTTCAGTCCAACTCGTTTTGGCCACCTCACCACCCCACTGGGTGGGTTGAGGGACGCCTCGGAGCAAACGGGAAGGCTGACCTGACTGAAGGAAAGAGGGGTGGGGGCGGAGTCGATTCTTCCACCGGGGGCAGATGGTCCTCCTGCCTTCCAGCAGGAACTGGTGGGCAGGAGAATGAATACAGTCATCCCCACCATTGGAAGTGCAGCACATTCTTGGAAAGCATAGTTGTTTTAATTGTTGTTGTTGTTGTTGTTATTGTTGTTGTTGTGTGGTTAATCTTTGGTGAGATTCACAGTCTTTGGGGCTGGTTGGTAGCTCAACAGCTCGAGTCCTAACCAAGGACCTAGGAACTGTGAAGGTAACATTGGAGGATATAAGCTGTTCCAAGTAGGGCGATTTTTTTGTAGAATCAGAATGTTCAAATCCGATAAATTTAGAATTTCCAAATTATTATTTCATATGTCAGATTCATATGGCATTTCAGTAACAGCAAATTGATAATGTCCTCATTCCTTTTACTGTGTTTACTTGCTGAAAACTCTGTAAACTAATATATTTGGAGGGTCAAGAGCTACCCAGATATCCAGTTTACTTAGGATACCATGGCTAGGAAAACTGCATTCAACTGGTTGTCTTCAAAGGGACCCCAGAGGAATTGGAGTCAAATTGGGATAATTTAAGGTTTTTGAAATTAGTTAAAGATGTATAGTTAAATGTATGGGTTTTGCACATAAAATCAACTACAGATCACAGTATTGAAAAATATTTTAAACAATATTTTAAAACAATATGAATAAGAGAATCATAAAGGGGGGTTGGTTTTTTTAGGGAAATGGGGATTAAACAAATTCAAAATGAAGATTGAAAATGGAAAAACAAATATATATATCAAAGTAAATATACATTGTCATCTATTTTATAAATAATCATAACGTTTCAAAATAGATTGATTATACCTTATTTATCTATTTGTTGGTGTACAATGTACACCACCTTCATATAGAAAGTTGTGTTTGTAGTGTAGAAAATTACATTTTATTGTGTTTATAATATTGTTTATAATATTGTGATAAGGAACCTATGGCACATGTGATTATCTATGATTTTCCTGTTTCCAGTCCATGCATGCTCTGGCCAACTAGTCTTCGCGCACACATGAGCACCAGAAACCGGAAGACCAGGTGGCCAGTGTGCATGCATGTGCCGGAAACTGGAAGATCATTTTCCCAGTGCACTCATGTGCACGGGCCAGCTGGTCTTCTGGTTTTTGGTATGTATGCATGTGCAAAGACCAGCTGGCCAGTGCGTATGCGCATGCTGGAAACCAGAAGATAATCTTCCTGGTGCGTGCATGCACCCCAGATAGCTGCTCTTCCAGTTTCCGGCGCACACACACACATTCCCATTTTGGCACTCGGTGCTGAAAAGGTCCACCAACACTGAACTAGATATTTTGCCTCCAAGCCTGAGTAGATTAGATAATCATGCAAAAGGTTTCAGCCATTTTTAATAATGAAAGTTTGTCCAAAGCTACTCAAATGAAAATGCTACTAAGTTTGAAATGTTTCTTTTAGGACTGTTGTTTAAAATCTTCAAGTACATTTTCCATATCCTGTTTCCAATTAGACCACTTGTTTAAAGAAGGACAGACATTTTCCCTGTTCACTTTCAACTAGAACAGTGACAATTCTTGTAAATATGGGATGGTTATTGGGGAGTTAAAGTACACCTCTGACATACATTCACTAGACATCTAGTGACAACATCTCTAAGCAAAAATGAACTTTGTTAGCAACTCTCAGTTCTGCATGAATCAATACAATAAGGCAACTTTACATGATCAGCAGAAAAGCCTCTTTTACAGGCTGAGTAAACATCTTTGTTTGGAACAGATGATTTCATTTTAATTAAATGGATACTCCCCTAAATGAAAATATTTTCATTCCATAGAGTTTCTAGTAAATATATAAATCACAATATAAGTCACAAAATAAAGTGAGGTACCAGCTACATTTTAATGCAGATATAATTCTAATAACATTTTATTTAGGAGGGGCATTTTTAACAGAAAAGCAGATGAAGGAAGTGAATTACCTTTCCTGCACATACGTTTAAATTACCTTCCATTTTCCTGGAGAAATGATTTGTTAAAAGGCTACATAAAATAAGACTTTCTAAAGGGTTTTTCTTGAATATACATTTTATTTTCCTAATAAATGACTGAGTTATTAAAAGTTTCCTGTGGCAACAATATACAGGGTGGGGCATAACCTTTTCCTAGGGGGTCACAGCAACACTTGTAATAAC